AAGTTTTGAGCCTCAAGTCCGTTGACAGCAGGTTTTGAAAGGAGGTGATAGTAATTAATACTACCGGCTCTTATCAGGAAAATTTCACGGGTTGTATAAAAATAAGTTATTGGTGCTAAGACGAAAAGCACTCGCTGGAACAAATCTAAAAAAAAGCATACTTGACGAAATAAGTGTGAAGCAATGTTAAATAAAATTATTGATAAAAATATAAGATATGTAATATTTTTGGGTGCAAAATGAAACAAATAATACGACAATATCTGTTATTAATGGCGTAAAATATCATATAGCGTTTTTATGGCAGTTAAAATACCATAAACAAAAAATTTTCCATTTATGGTATAAAAAGGAAATATATTAAAATCCCCTTGTTAGTACATTTTTTATTCAATGGTTCCCAATTCTACTCAATCAAGAGCATTGCTCACAATTTTTGTTTTATTATATCATCCAAAATATATTGAGAAAGCTGTCGAGGAAACAGAATATCTGGTAGTTCATGATAAATCAGAGCTTTTGTTACAGCCAGAAGATTTACTTATTAATTGTGATTGGAAAGACAAAGAGTTCGTAGAACATAAATTCTATAAGGTTTGTAGATGTGATTTGATCGCCAAATCCAAATCAGATCCCAAAAACGAAAATATGACCGATGAAGAAAGACTATTGATCAGGATAGCTAATGAGCATGCAGAATGTAATGAAGAACCACCCATTGAATACTGTGTGATCACTTTACCAATCAGCAAGCTGCTGTATGAGAAATTGGTACATTCATCATGGCAATCAGACACTAACTTTACATTTGACGAACTATGCAACCTCCTTACTATGCAGCCACGTTTTTTTGAGAAAGAAAGCCTTGTCATGTTCTTGATGGTCAAAAATCTTCTTAGTGACGAGACATTGTATTCACAGCTGAACAGATTCTTTGAAGAAAGACGAAGTAAGCAAGAAAATCTGTTTTTGTGTGATCAATTGAACTGGTATGAAAATATCTTTGCTGTATTCTGTGAAAACGGGTATTTCGTGCTAGAGGATCAATTCAAAAATATAATTGTGACTGCAAGCGATTATGAACAAAAATGTAAGATTCCTATTCATGTCAAATCAATAGAATGCTTACCTTTCGCAATTCCAGTTAATTACTTGGCAGTTGATTATACATTTCTACAAAACCAGTCTTCAGAGTTACCAATCGTCTACAATAGAATTCTAGGCTTGACAGTTGATGTTGATTTCACGAATTTTTTTGCAAAACCAGAGAACATAAGAACACCGGAAGAATCAACTGAGCAGCTAACAC